TTCCATGTCCTCCAAATGTCTGACACTTTCAGGTATAGGTGTGTACGCCAGAGGTTTTCCATGTCGTACAAGCACATCTCCTGATCGATGACTTAGCTTCTGCTTTGCACAGTGAAGTCAACACTCTTTTCTTTAATGCTCGTTTAACTGGAACATTTTCTCAATAACATCCAGGATAACCATTTCCAGTAGATACTCACAAAAGTGTAATTAAAAAAAATGCACAGCAAAGTAATGAATTCTCTTAGAATTATAGGCTTAGCATTTTTTTCTTTGAGGAAACATTTGCAAAGTGGTTTTAATATACTGTTGTCTTATTTAGACAATTTGAAAAATATTGTAATGTGTGATCTGGGGTGTTGCTTTGTGACATGCAGTCAGTCCACTAAGACCTTTGAAGCTTGTCCTATGACTCTTGAATTGATGCCAATAGAAAATATGCATCGGCCGTGCTGGGACTGTGGTTTGGTGGTCAGTGCTGGTGTCCTGTAATCTTGAGGCTGTGAAGTCAAGCCCAGCTTGTGTCAGGAAGGGTGTAAAACAATGACCAACTCTTTCATGCACGTTCCTTCACTGGTTAGCTGTGAGCTTCAACAAAGACCCCAACAGGATCAATGAGGTCACAGCAAAATCAGACAGGCCGACGTCAAGAATTAACTAAACTTATTACACAAATAAAGAAACCTGGAGACATAAACCAAAATATTAGAAGTAAAAAAGACAAATAAATAAACCAGCAGTCTCAGGAGAAGAGCCAGGCTTGTTGGAGCTCATTTGTCATATTTTATCATTTAAAACTGGTCAATTGTGTTGCGCTGTTGTTGAAGTTGTTACGTTTTGCCACTAGAGGGCGCTGGTGTAACAGAAAAGGGCAGAAGAGACTATATTTTATGAAATGGGACAAAAAGATACAGAAAAACTGAGACGTGATCTGTGAAGGCGTCTGGTACATCTACTCTACTGAAGTTTGTGAGTTTAACTTTGTCTCCTATTGTCATGGCCACCACTACACTTTTTTTTTTTTAGTTTTAGTATTTTTTAATATACAGTATAACAATAGGAAACAGTAATATATATATATATACACACACACACACACACACACACACACACACACACACACACACACACACACACACACGCACACACACACACACACACACACACACACACACACACACACAC